GACTTCGCTTCTTCCTGACCTTATATCCCTCAATCAAACCACTTTTGTAAGAGGTAGATCAATTATAGACAACACCCTTCTTGCTCAAGAATTAGTGAAAGGCTATGGTAGAAAGAATATCTCGCCAAGATGTGCTCTCAAAATTGACTTACAAAAAGCCTTTGATTCTCTTAATTGGGAGTTTATCTCCTCCATTCTTAAAGCAATAGGACTTCCTTCCATTTTCACTAGATGGATCGATTCTTGCTTCAAAGAAGCTAGATATTCCATATCTTTTAATGGTAGTCTAATTGGATACTTCAAAGGCCAGAGAGGCATCCGCCAGGGAGACCCTCTATCTCCTATCCTTTTTGTGATAACAATGAACATTCTCTCAAAAATTCTCAATCTTGCTGCAGCCAGAGGCATATTTGGATACCATCCAAAGTGCAAAAAAATTGGTATTACTCACTTATCTTTTGTAGACGACCTCTTGATCTTTTATAAAGGCAACCTTGAATCTATTGTTGGTGTTACTAGTGTCTTTAACCATTTCTATGATATTTCTGGTCTGAACCTCAATGTTAGCAAAACTGAGTTTTATGCTGTTGGTATTTCTGCTCGAACTTTAGACTCCATTAAATCTTCCACTAGCTTCAAACAAGGTTATTTGCCCGTTAGGTACGTAGGAGTCCCTCTTGTCACTCGAAAACTTACTGAAAAAGACTGTCTTCCTTTCATTGATAATATCAAAAAAAAGGCTTCATCATTGGTCTAGAAAACTTCTTAGCTATGTTGGGCATCTTGAGCTTATTAAAATTGTCCTTTACAGTATAGTTAACTTCTGGAGTAGACAATTTATCCTCCCTCATAAAGTTATCAATCAGCTTGAGCAGCTTCGCTCTCGTTTCCTTTGGAAAAGAAATGATACAGCTGTTACATGAGCTAGGATTAGCTGGGATAGGATTTGTAGTCCCAAAGCTGAAGGAGGTCTTGGGTTGAAGAACATCTAATCCTGGAATAAAGCCTGCATGATTCAACTCATTCGAAAAATTCTAGCTGGAGAGGGGTCTTTATGGGTCGCATGGATACAATGTTATATTATCAAAAGCAGCAACCAAAGTGATATCAATGTTAACTCTTCCTACAGTTGGACTATCAGAAAACTTGTGAAAATGAGTAGTGAAGTCCTTCCTAATTTAACTGCTGGTGTCACGAATACTAAAGAAATATGGGAAGATATCAGATTTCATAGAGACAAAGTTTCCTGGCATAAAGTAATTTGGTTTCCTCTTCACACCCCAAAACTTAGCATTATCTCTTGGATGGCCATTCTAGATCGTCTTCCTACTCGAGATAGACTTATTAGAATGGGAATTACTTCTGATAGTCTTGTATATTGTGCAATGAGGATAATGAATCCAGAAATCATTTGTTTGTTGAATGTACTTATGCTACTTCTCTATGGAATTCTATTATGAATCTGTCTAGCATGCGAGATATTCACAGGTCTTGGGATTCAAGGATTGAATGGGCTGCTCAAGCTTGGAAAGATAAATCTCTCCTTTCCACCATACTGAGGATCGCCTGGACTGCATTTATTTACTTCATTTGGGAGGAAAGAAATAGAAGAATTTTTAACAGAGGATCAAGAACAGCATATCAACTCCTCACGTCTATAAAGGAGCAAGTTCGTCTAAAATTTACTCCCTATTGGGATGATTGTTGTACATTAAACTCTTTCTTTTTCACTTGGGAAATAAAATCTAATTATCCAAAAAAAAAAGCTATTCAAAAAGAAAAAGCATTTAAGGTTTTAAAAAGCAATCCGATATAACGGGCATCAGGTCTCCAAGGTTATAACATCAATATAAAATTATCAGACGTAAATTACCCATTAATTATAGGAATTCATCAGTTGCCCAAAAGGATAAACAAGACGGGGAAATGGTTGAATTCATAAAATAAACTAAAAAAGAAACTTCGAATAAATTAGCAAATGAAGATTGAAATGTTGCTTTAAGAATGTAATCAAACACAAAATACGCAAAAAATTGGGTATAGAATCCAAAGAACTTACCACAAGATCTGGTTCGTTTACAAACAAAAGAAAACGTTTCAAAACACACTGAAATAGTGGGCATCGGTTCTCCAAGGTGTTTTAGCATCAAGAAACGTTTCACAAGTGCGGGATATAGTTTTTGTAGAAAAAAGTTCCAATCACAAAGCCCTTGTTTATTTTCAATGTTCCACCTCTTCAAACCTCTTATGTCTGCGCCGCGCAGACATTAGGCTTCGAAGACCGTTTGTTTTTTAGAAGACAGAAGCTCTTCTAACGTCTGCGCGAGCTCTTCTTGGTGCAGACATGATTTTATGTCTTCAAATGTCTTCAAATGTCTTCAAACATCTTCAAGAACAATTATAAAATATGGTTATTTATTAAAATAATTTTAAATAATTTAATAAGGTTATTTATTATAAAATAATTTATTTTAAAATAAATTATTTTAAAATAATTTATTTTAAATAATTTATTAGTATGTATTGATTTATTTTAAAATATGAATTGATTTATTTTAAAATATGGATTGATTTATTATTGTAGTTGTATGGATTGATTTATTTTAAATAATTTATTAGTATGGATTGATTTATTTTAAAATATGGATTGATTTATTTTAAATAATTTATTAGTATAGATTGATTTATTTTAAAATATGAATTGATTTATTTTAAATAATTTATTAGTATGGATTGATTTATTTTAAAATATAGTTTGATTTATTTTAAATAATTTATTATTGTAGTTGTATGGATTAATTTCAGTATTGTAAAACTAAAATTATTTAAATTTCAGTATTGCAAAACTCTTTTAAGTTTAAAAAATTAGTTTATTTATATTTCAGTTCATTTTAGTAATCTGCATACGTTAAAAAACAGTCTTCTTCTTGCAGACTGCAGACTTTTGGTCCACATCTTCTACTACAGATGCCTACAGATGTGATCCGCAGACTGCAGAACTTTCACCTCTGCAAAAACAAACACCACCAAAATAAATTATCCAACAAATCTTGTAAAGAGACGGAGAATTCAAAGCGATCAGAACCTGTCGGAACTTCAATGTAACATCAAATTAATTTAGTGGATTGGCAGACCATTGAATTTCTATCATCTCATCGCTTTTAATCCTTTCTCCGTTATTTAAAGAGAAAAATCCATGAAATTTCATGCTAACAAATTTAAAAAAATAATAATAAGAAAAGAGTAAGCTCAGAACTTCTTAGAGGGTTGTGTGACCGTCACCGGATGCTCCTCTGGTACACAAAATAATGTTCATCAACGCTACTCAAAGGTGAAGAAAATAGCTTACCTTTCGGGAGGCGGCTGTTTATCGAAGCTCAGGGATGAACGAGTCTGAGCAGCGAATAGGTATTTATAATGCAGGGTGAAACTGAAACCCTAGTAGCCGCTTGTCAATATGCGGCAAAATTACGACTTTCAAGTATTTAACTTTTAACTTTCAGGGATGATTGTTGTACATTAAACTCTTTCTTTTTCACTTGGGAAATAAAATCTAATTATCCAAAAAAAAGCTATTCAAAAAGAAAAAGCATCTAAGGTTTTAAAAAGCAATCCGATAGAACGGGCATCAGGTCTCCAAGGTTATAACATCAATATAAAATTATCAGACGCAAATTACCCATTAATTATAGGAATTCATCAGTTGCCCAAAAGGATAAACAAGACGGGGAAATGGTTGAATTCATAAAATAAACTAAAAAAGAAACTTCGAATGAATTAGCAAATGAAGATTGAAATGTTGCTTTAAGAATGTAATCAAACACAAAATACGCAAAAAACTGGGTATAGAATCCAAAGAACTTACCACAAGATCTGGTTCGTTTACAAACAAAAGAAAACGTTTCAAAACACACTGAAATAGTGGGCATCGGTTCTCCAAGGTGTTTTAGCATCAAGAAACGTTTCACAAGTGCGGGATATAGTTTCTGTAGAAAAAAGTTCCAATCACAAAGCCCTTGTTTATTTTCAATGTTCCACCTCTTCAAACCTCTTATGTCTGCACCCCGCAGACATTAGACTTCGAAGACCGTTTGTTTTTTTAGAAGACAGAAGCTCTTCTAACGTCTACGCGAGCTCTTCTTGGTGCAGACATGATTTTATGTCTTCAAATTTCTTCAAACCTCTTCAAGAACAATTATAAAATATGGTTATTTATTAAAATAATTTTAAATAATTTAATAAGGTTATTTATTTTAAAATAATTTATTATAAAATAATTTATTTTAAAATAATTTATTTTAAAATAATTTATTTTAAAATAAATTATTATAAAATATGGATTGGTTTATTTTAAAATAATTTATTTTAAAATAAATTATTATAAAATATGGATTGATTTATTTTAAAATAATTTATTTTAAATAATTTATTAGTATGGATTGATTTATTTTAAAATATGAATTGATTTATTTTAAAATATGAATTGATTTATTTTAAAATATAGATTGATTTATTATTGTAGTTGTATGGATTGATTTATTTTAAATAATTTATTAGTATATATTGATTTATTTTAAAATATGGATTGATTTATTTTAAATAATTTATTAGTATATATTGATTTATTTTAAAATATGGATTGATTTATTTTAAATAATTTATTAATATGGATTGATTTATTTTAAAATATAGATTGATTTATTTTAAATAATTTATTATTGTAGTTGTATGGATTAATTTCAGTATTGTAAAACTAAAATTATTTAAATTTCAGTATTGCAAAATTCTTTTAAGTTTAAAAATTTAGTTTATTTATATTTCAGTTCATTTTAGTAATCTGCAGACGTTAAAAAACAAACAGTCTTCTTCTTGCAGACTGCAAACTTTTGGTCCACATCTTCTACTGCAGATGCTTGCAGATGTGGTCCGCAGACTGCAGACCTTTTACCTCTGCAAAAACAAACACCACCAAAATAGATTACCCAACAAATCTTGTAAAGAGAAGAAGAATTCAAAGCGATCAGAACCTGTCGGAACTTCAATGTAACATCGAATTAATTTAGTGGATTGGCAGACCATTGAATTTCTATCATCACATCGCTTTTAATCCTTTCTCCGTTATTTAAAGAGAAAAATCCATGAAATTTCATGCTAACAAATTTAAAAAAAATAATAATAAGAAAAGAGTAAGCTCAGAACTTCTTAGAGGGTTGTGTGACCGTCACCGGATGGTCCTCTGGTACACAAAATAATGTTCATCAACGCTACTCAAAGGGGAAGAAAATAGCTTACCTTTCGGGAGGCGGCTGTTTATCGAAGCTCAGGGATGAACGAGTCTGAGCAGCGAATAGGTATTTATAATGCAGGGTGAAACTGAAACCCTAGTAGCCGCTTGTCAATATGCGGCAAAATTACGACTTTCAAGTATTTAACTTTTGGCGGAAAATAAGGTCAAACTATGTCTTTAGTCCCTGTCCTATGAGTAAATATTCAATTTAATCTTTATATTCAAATTTATCAATTAAATTGAAATTTTATTTTATATCAAGTCAAACTTGAAACACGCCTACTTCGAACAAAGAACAATATCAAGTCTATACATAAAGGCGTTATTAAGATTTTAAATCTTTTAGATAACGTTTAATATTTAAATTTTAATATTATAAATTAAATTGAAATTTTATTTTATATTAAACATTCATAATATTTAATTTAAATATTAAATCGAGATAGATATAGCTTGCTGATATTTTGAACAACGCTATTTACATGGAAAAAGAATTTCTTGGATTAAAAGTAAATTTATCATCATAACATAACAAATATCTTACTTTTATCGATATTTATTATTATAATTTAAGACTACATTTTTTTAATTGGATATTACAACTAAGGGTCTATTTCATAGATTGTCATTGGTTTTCTTGAAAAATAATTTATGTAAATGGATTACATGAAATTTGTTTTACTTAAAATGAACTACCTAAAATCGTTTTGCATAAAATGAATTATATTTTCTAAAAAAATAATTTTTGAAAACTATTTTATGGTGTTTTGATGAAATTATGTAAACCATTACGTAAATAAATAAAGTTCGATTCGGTTAATAATTTCAAAAAAAATCAATTTGATTAACGATTAAAAAAATCCAGTTAATTCGGTTAATGATAATTCAATTCGAGAAATGATTGAATTAACCATTTGAACACCCTTAAATTTAATTATTAGTATATCAATAATATAATACTAAATTATTATATTAAATATTAAATGTATAAATTAAAATCTCATTATTAATAATTTAATAATATTATATTCATAAAAATAATAGATAATACCAATTATATAATAATTTATTATATATTACTAAATTAAAATATCACATCATATTTTATTACAATATATCTGAGTATATATTAATATAATATTAAAAATATAATTTTATTAAGTTATATTATAATAATATTAAATATTTTATCAAAATAATATTAAAATATTAAATTAATATTAAATGAATAAAATAATATCTTTTTGAGCACTTAAACTTGAGGTGAATAGTTAGAAAAATATTTTAGGAAAAATTAGATGGTAAAACATTTTACAAAAAATACAAAGAAAATAGAAAAATAAATTACATTGAAAAAATCAATTACAACTATCAAACACTGAACAATATTTTTCTTAAAACCAATTACAACTATCAAACACACCTTAATTCTCCTTCTTCTTTTTTTATAAAGAATTTGCATTAAACCGGCGTAGTGATAGCCGGGGGCAAAGTAAAGTGAAGTTTAGACAAGATGGCTCAGATTAACCAACTTCAAGGTTCAGTTCAGTACTCGTAAAATGTAAGAAACGAGAGAGAAATCAGCATTAGAGAATTAAATGTTCTAAAAAAGGGTTGTCAAAAATGATCACACGATCACCTCTAATGGAAGATGTTTCACTTATATATATACACACATGTAATCTGAACACTCCCAGAACAGCTCACCTGTATTATAGAAAGATTTGAACCTGCCAGAGAGAAAATGGCAGAGCTTTTATACTCCAGGAACCATTCAACACATCCAACCGGTACAAGGTAATGAAGAATGAAAGGAAAATAATTTAGCCAAAAGAAAACTAAGAAGAGACTTAGGTTATGCATTGCAGATGCAGAGAGCAAGAAGCAATGGAATATACCCATCCAGTTTTAAGACTGGAGCCAAGGCATCATGCAAACGTCTGAAGAAGAGAACACCTTTGGGTAATTCCTTTCCTATCAGATTTCACTGAAAAATACTACTCACGGAACAATCATCGTGCACACGCCAAATGGTTTCACCCAACAGATTCGCCACAGAAAGAACTGTCAGCTGAGGGAAGTAGTTCTTCTCTGCCACTGGAAGTGTATTTGTAATGATCACTTCCTGGAAAATGCCACTCGATAACCTCTCTCTTGCAGGAGGGCTGCAATAAAAACAATACATATATTAGCAAAATGATGACGACTAAAAGGTTGATGCATATGAAACTTTTAACATAGTTCGAACAATTAATTTTAGACCTGAAAACTGCATGAGTACAGCATGCATAAACTTCCTTTGCCCCCTCTTGGTGTAGCAGTTCTGCCCCCTTCACAATTGTTCCTAGCACACACAGAAAGTTTTGTTAGTAAGCATAAACTGAATTTATAACACAGCCAATGGTCGAAGAGGACCATTTTCAAGGCAGAAAATCAAAACCAAAATGAAACTATCATTTCCAAAACATGGGGATAATAAAACTTTGCAGAAATAGAGATGAACTTTTTTGCCACGTCCACCATTTAACCACTGTATACATCATGATAAGCAAAATAAACGTCTATTTGTCATTCGGAAGAGGTTTATGTTTACACTCTTCACATTGCCTTCACTCACCAGCAGTGTCAATCATATCATCCACCATAACAGCAACTTTTCCCTTTACATCACCAATAAGGTTCATTACCTACAAAATAGAAGCAGTCATGGACTCTGAAGACAATAACAATGTACTAGTCATATAACTAAAGCAAGAAATACAGCATAAACTGGTGATTTAGAAGACCAATTGGCAGCAGACATCAGCCTACTGCCAGGTCTGCAATGTCGATATCAATAACAATATATATAATTGCACAATCAATTTGGAAAAAAAATATAATGAGAGCAGAGATGAGGAGAACACATTACCTCTGCAACATTGTGTCCTTGACGCCTTTTATCCACAATGGCTAAAGGTGCATCTGACAGTTTTTTTGCAAAAGCACGTGCTCTTGCTACTCCTCCAACATCAGGTGAAACCACTACCAAGTCAGTGGAAGATATTCTCTTGCTGGCAAGATAATCAAGAATCACAGGCTACAGTCCAGACAGTTAAAGGATATACAAATTAGTAATTGCTTAGCCATCGACAGTGAACAACCATAAGGCTAGAGTAAAATGATCTTCCCCAGCTCCAGGCCCATGTACCATACAATTTCCTGCAACAATAGAGCTGGCAAACATAAGTTTCAAGAAATAAGAAAGTAAACTTGCATAAGTTCAGAAATGATACGGCAAGTAATCTAATCCTTAAAGCATTAAAAGCGCGTGATGCTTGATAAGGTTCAACAGCAGTAAAATGAATTTATAAAACACTGTTAATATTGACAAATCGGGAGAATGTCATTCAAGCAGGCAAATTATGTATAGCATATTGACTGGTTCAAATTGAAAGACTGCCCAGAATGAAGGTCACAAGAAAGAACACGATTTGCACCAGCTTCAGTGACAAGATTTGCAACAAGTTTGGCTGCTATTGATTCTCGCCCTTGGTTCTGAAAACAAGATTACAGACAAAATTAAATTTAGTATCATAAAAATACAATACGATTCAAAAGCTCCAGAAGTTATATCTTATGGGGGGGAAACTGCAAAGCAAGGACATTGATTCAATCAACATAATTCTAACACAATATTGCAGAATTTGTTCTGGTTACGATAAAAAGGAAAAACACATCATCGAACTAGGCGAATTCGGGTGATCAGATTTTTAATCAATTTAATTTGTAGCTGGTGTCTTAGTTGATACAACAAATTTCATCCCCTGCAGTTTATTATGAAATAGTCACATTTTATCTTACCTTTCTATCAGCTCGGGCATAACCAAAATAAGGAATCACCACAGTGATATTTTTGGCCGACGCTCTCCGGCAAGCATCTATCATTATGAGAAGCTCCATCAGATTCTCATTTGCAGGAGGGCATGTTGGTTGCACTAAATATACATCACATCCTCTAACACTCTCTTGCAGCTGAACATAAATTTCCCCATCAGCAAATCGCTTAATGTTGATCTTCCCCAGCTCCAGGCCCATGTACCATACAATTTCCTGCAACAATAGAGCTGGCAAACATAAGTTTCAAGAAATAAGAAAGTAAACTTGCATAAGTTCAGAAATGATACGGCAAGTAATCTAATCCTTAAAGCATTAAAAGCGCGTGATGCTTGATAAGGTACAACAGCAGTAAAATGAATTTATAAAACAGACTGTTAATATTGACAAATCGGGAGAATGTCATTCAAGGGGCGATTAGAGATGATGGGCAACCAGCCTAGCAATCTTATCATTTCAACATGGAAATTGAAAGTAACACCTGGAAAAAAAAATCTCTACCACAGAAGGCAATAAGTAATCAAGGTGTAAAGCAATGACCTGAGAAAGTGCAGGATTGGCAGTCCCAGAAAACAATTTGATCTTAGCACTATTTCTGTTAGCAGTTGTCTCCAGTCGAGCCGATTCCAAGAACTTGGGCAGTGTTCTTTCATTTAGGATAGGAATCACTGGCTTCCCATTCCAAATATTCACTGATTGATCCATGTCACATTTCTAGTATTTCCAACCATAAAAAGAAAAGCACCCATATCAGTAAAACATTAACACTGCGCAAGAAACGAAATGTGCCCTTTCCCAGTCACCCAAAAAGGCAAAACTTGCCTTTTGTTGGGAAAACTTTCTTTTACTGTAAAAATAGTAGAGGACGAATCCAAACGAAGCCAAATTTTTTGAAGGAAAATAAGAAACGCTACACTGTAGATCTCATCATATACCCACACGTACGGCACATTACACGAAAATAATACCAATAAAAAACAAATATTCAACCCCAACAGAGAAGAAAACCGAATTATATAATAAAAAAAGGAAAACCAGCATTTAAAAAACCAAAAGTAAAATAAAACTCACTCCAGCAGCTTAAAGACACCAAAAATGAA